CTGTCCAGCAGACGCACATGTTCCGCGGTCTGGGCCTTTTCCTCTTTCTGCCTTCACCACTTGAAGGAGTGTAGCGGCCGCCTTCTTGGAATGTCTTTCTGGACTTTTCTTGAAAGTAGCAGAGACCTTTAGCAAATGCACTCCATGAGGTCTTGCCTGTCGTTGGGGTGTTCCAAGGGGCCTCCCAGGGTCCCTAGCAATCCCACAGCCTTGGGGAAAATGGGACCTGTGCCACCCTATGTGGGTGTTGTTGGAACCATCCTAGATTTCACACTTTTAACAGAGCTCTAGAGTTCCAGTTGTTTTGGCTTTCCTCTAGGCCACCGGCTGCCCTTATTTTTCTTGTATCGGGTCCCCTGACAGCCACATCCACTGCTATTTAAGAAATGGCACCATGTCTTCCCTGTAGCATTTGTACCCAGGACCTGGCTCAGGATTTCCAGCTGCCTTCCGGAAAGTTCTACAGATGCTTCAGCCTTACAGGTCTAGAAGTGGCCTGCTTCGGAACTTGCCTCCTGACTCAGTGAATGACATCATCACTGACCCAGTGATCAGCAGGGAAGCCCAAGCTCCTCTCTTCCTCATCTTCTCCCATGCCCTGTCATCATCACTCACCCAGTGACCAGAACAGAAACCCTCACTCTTTCCCTTCCTTGTTTCTACCACATCTTGTCACTCCTGCCCTCTCTCCTCCACTCGGCCATCACTGCCTTCAGCCCTCAGGCTCTTCTTACCCCGACTACCGGACAGCCTGTGGTTTTTCACCTTTTTCTAATTTACCCACTGTTCAGTTTCTTAAGTTATACATTTGTTAAAATAAATCTTTGAGTGGCCGCACCCTGGTGACCCGTGCCAGTTGGAGGATGGAGGTAGGAGGATCATGAGTTTGAAGGCCTATCTCAGAAACAAAATACAAGCAAAAGGGGGTTCCAATGGTAACAAGCTTGCCTGGTACATGTGAAGTCCTGGGTCCAATCCCTAGCACCAGTACTACAATAATAGGAATGAAAACCTAGTGGATCTTATCAGTTCACTCAAAGGTGATAAAAACCTGCTAGATCACTATGGTGGATGCACATGTTCAAGAAATACCACCATGAATGAGAAACGTGTACAGCAGAGAATGGATTCAGATCACGGCCTCACTACATGCAACTAACTAGTTCTCTGTGTGTCACGTTTCTCATGTATAAAATGAGATGTTTTTGTGTATATGCCAGTCCTGGGCCTTGTCTTTGAGCTTTTGTGCTCATGGCTTGTGCTCTACCATTTGAGCCACAACTCCACTTGTGGCTTTTTGGTGGTTAATTGGAGATAAGAATCTCATGAACTTTCCTGCCCAAGCTGGTTTCATACCTCAAGCCTCAGATCTCAGGTAGCTAGTATTACTGGTAAGCCACCAGCACCTAGCTAAAGTAACATTTTCAAAAGTATTAATCATACTTGTTCCACCTCTGAGTTTAAGAACATTAAAAAGATATATAAGAGCCAAGTGCCCTGGCAACTACTGAGTAGGTGGAGACGATCCCCATGTCAACAAACTGAGCATATAGTGCATGCCTATGGTCTTAGCTACACGAATGGCTGTGGGTGGGGCAGTTACAGTCCAAGGCTGATCCTAGATAAAACTTCAAGACCCTGTAAAAATTAAATTATGAGGAATATGTGGCTAAAGTGGTAGAACACCTGCCTAGCAAGTATAAGACCCTTGTACTACCATCAAACCCCAGTACCACCAAAATTAAGAGAGAGAGAAAAAAGAGAGAGAGAGAGAGAAGGGTGGGGGAGGGAGAGAGGAAAGGAGGGAGGGAGGGAAGGAAAAATACACACGAAAGTGAGATAGGATCCAAAGATAGTTTTATTGCAGGTGAAACAGGCTTGGGCCTGGGGCCCAAAAAAAAAAAATCTTTCTAAAACTTCCTCCTTGCCTCAGCTTTGCTCCCTACCTAAGGGAGAAGTTGAATCTATAGGGAAAATGTCAACCTGCTTTAGCTTTGCCTTGATTCAGGTTTCCTAAGCCATGGAAGGGAGCAGGTGCCACAGAACCTGTCCTGCATTCAGGCTGCCTATGCTTCACCAAAGAAAAACTCAAAACCAAAAGGATAGGAGCCCCTGGGACCAACGCCAGACACTGGCTCTCTCATAGATCACCCGGATAGAAGGACAGGTAGGAACTCTGATTACAGAGGAAGGAAAAGATGGGAAAGGAAAGATGTTCTTACCACTTCAGCCAGGTAGAAACCCTAAGAAGGAGAGAAAATAAATACTTTCCTACTACCTTCTGTTTGGTAGATTTGTTGGGGTGAGTATAATGTGAGGCATGTATGAGACATAGATAGTGTGTGTTGGTTACTGACTGACACACTGTTGCCACAGGCTGAGTGGCATCTGAGGCCTAAACTCTGTGAACGTAACCATCTGTAGATGTGAGAGCCCTGGCGCCAGCCAGCCACTAGAGATTCCTCTCAGTAAAAAGTCTACTTGGGAAATGTATCTGTGGAAGGGTAACCTCAGATCAGAGAAATGTGATTGTAAAGGATACAGAAGTCTGTCAGGTTGGTCTTCCCCATGTAGGAATCCACTGTCCATTGCATAGCAAGGCTGAGGACATTAGAAAAGAAAAGAGACTTATGTTTACTTCCCATTTGACGCTGACAGGGCTGCCCTATCAGTTTATTCTCTGGGAAGGGCTTCATGGTGGATGATATCTTTATGGAGGGCATGTGGAAGGGATCATATGGGTAGACAGGAAGGAGAGATGAGGTAGGCCAAGTTGTACTGTTTTTATGACCTTAACTTTTTTTTTTTTTTTGCCAGTCCTGGGACTTGAACTCAGGGCTTAGGCACCGTCCCTGAGCCTCTTGTGCTTAAGGCTAGCACTTTACCACTTGAGCCCCAGTGCCACTTCTGGCTTTTTCTGAGTAGTTTATTGGAGATAAGAGTGTCATGGACTTTTCTGCCCATGTTGGCTTTGAACCATGATCTTCAGATCTTAGCCTAGTGAGTAGCAAGGATTATAAGAGTGAGCCTCCACTAACTTCTCTTTGTCTCTGTCTCTGTCTCTCTCTCTCTTTGGGTGGGTCATGGGGCTCGAACTCTGGGCCTGCGCACTGTCCCTCAGCTCTTCTGCTCAAGGCTAGCACTTTACCACTGGAGCCACAGCGCCACTTCTGGTTTTCTGGTGTTTTTTTGGAGATAAGAGTCTCATGGACTTTTCTGCCCCAGCTGGCTTTGAACCACAATCCTCAGACCTCAGCCTCCTGAGTAGCTAGGATTATAGGTGTGAGCCACCAGCACCCGGCTAACTTCCTTCTTGAGACACATTAATCACTTCTGAGGGTATCATTCCCAATGACTTAATTACCTTCTCCTAAGCCCTGCCTTGTAATAGTCTACCACCTCTCATATCACACTGGGAACCAAGCCTTGAAAACATGAAATGAGGTGCACACCAAACCATTTGACTTGCTGAAGATGAACCTATTTACCACGCTGGCTTAAAGCCCACAGCATCCAACCATCATCATTTTCGAGGGAGGGGGGGTAAAGGTTAGATACAGAGAGGTTACAGTTATATAAGTCAGGTACATTTCTTTTTGAACCATATCATACCCCCCCTCATTTCTCCCAGGTTTTTCCCTCCCTCCCCCTTTCACCCACAAGTTGTGTAGTTCATTTCCAACAAAGTGTCTAGTAAGTGTCACTGCTGAATTAGTTCACCCTCTGTCCACCATTTCTGTACTTCCCTCCCCAAATCAGATAAACTTGCATACAAGACAAAAGGTACAGAAATAAAAAACAGCTTCAAACATGGGGGGGGGGGGCAGAAAAAAAGAACTTCAAGTAAAATAAAAAAAACCTCTTGTTTCCACTTTTTAGAGTTCATTTCACTAAGCATCATTTTATATGATCATATGCACATAGCTATTAAGCCCTTGATGATCACTTCTTTTTATCAAATGGTAAAATATATATAACATAAAATGTGTCAGTGTAATCCTTTTTAGGTATATAATTCATCAGTATTAGGAACACTCACAATATTGTGCAATTATCAAATTATCACCGCCATCTGTTTCCAAAAGAGTTTTTTTTTTTTTTTTTGCCAGTCATGGTGCCTGAACTCTGGGTCTGGGCGCTGCCCCTCAGCTCTTCAGCTCAAGGCTAGTGCTCTACCACTTGAGCCACAGCACCACTTCCAGCTTTTTCTGCTTATGGGTGCTGAGGAATCGAACCCAGGGCCTCTTGCATGCAAGGCAAGCACTCTATCACTAAGCCATCTTCCCAGCCCCTTCAAAACAGTTTATTTCAAGCCAGGGCTTGAATTCATAACCTTGTACCAAGTAGGTGGTAGTTCTACCACTTGATTAATGTCTTCAGTCCTATTTTTTCGCTGATTAGTGTTTTGAAGATGGAATCTTGCAGACTTTTCTGCCTAGGCTGGCTTAAATCATGACCCTTTAGATCTCAGCCTTTCTAACTAGAATTATAGGCATTAGCCACTGGCATTTAAAATCTCCCCACCCCTCTCCACCCTCTTTCTTGCTGGGACCGGGGCTTGAATTTAGGGCCAGCTTTGTGCTCTCATTCAGTTTTTTCATTCATAGCTGGTGCTGTACCAGTTGAAGCATGATTCGAGCTCTGGTTTTGTTTTTTGCTGGTTAATTGAAGATAATAGTCTTGAAATTTGGTCTGCTCAGGCTGATTCTAAACCTCAGTCTTCAAATCTCAGCCTCCTGAGTAGCTAATATTACAACATGCACCGCAACTGTCAGATAGTTCTTAATGGTGGAGTCATTCAGTGTTTGTATTTTTGTTTGACTATTTCATTTAGCATAATGTTTTCAAGGTTTATTTATGTCATAACTGTCATTTTTTTTAGATTAGAACTTAAATGGCCTCCATTGCTTGCTCGTGTGTGTATGTGTGTGTGTGTGTGTGTGTGTGTGTGTGTTGTCTTGATCAAACTCCTTTTTCTCTCTTCTTCTCAACACTTACAGAGCCTCCCCTTCCAGAAGTAGAGTTTTTCACAGTGCATGGAGGGTCTCTACCACGCCTCAGGCTGAGGAAAGCCAAGGAAGAAAATGGGCCCATCAGGTCAGTACCTATCTTTTTTCCAGTTACCTAGTAATCCGTGGGGAGTGTTTTGGATACTGGTTTGTGTGAGAAGATGTCCCTGGGGGTGGCTGCAGTTGAGTAGTGGAGACAATGCAACAAGGTCTCTGTTTTGTTTCCTGGGGCACTGACTAGACTTTTTTTTTTTTTACCTGGGTATGGGGCTTGGACACAGGGCCTGGGCACTGTCCCCAAGCTTTTTCATTCAAGGCTAGTGCTCTACCACTTTAAGTCGTAGCTCTACTTCTGGTTTTATGGTGACTAATGGGAAATAAGAGTCTTATAGACTTTCCTGCTCAGTCTGGCTTCAAACTGTGATCCTCAGATGTCAGCCTTCTGAGAAGGTAGGATTACAGGCATGAGCCACCAGTGCCTGGCCAATCTAGAACTTTTAATCCCAACAAATGAAGAGAGAAACATCTATGGGACCAGCATTTGGGCAGTTTAGCTCAGGAAATCAGATTCACCCCTTCAGCCATTGAAAGCATGGGTTGAGAACATCAGGCATTGTCCTTCATGTTCATAACTCATATACATGTTTTAGCATTGGTGGTGGGTCAGAAGCATCATTTTATTGTCTGAATACGTTTCACTCTATGTCAGGCTGACTTTGGTGTGTGTGTGTGTGTGTGTGTGTGTGTGTGTGTGTGTGTGTGTGTTTGTGTGTGTGTTGATTTCTGAAAAGGTCATTTGGATGATTCTTTTTATCCAGTCACCTATAAGGGTGAGACACTGTAGTTCATGACCACTGTTGGGACTGCAGATGGCATCAGAATGTTGGAGGGCGACATTGTGTTTGTTTTGGCTGTTTATTTGCAGAGTTCATGGGAGCATTAAACTCATAAATTGACACATTGAGTTGAAACTACTTTGTACAACTACTTGAAAATAACAGGAGCATAGAAACATTCTTTCCTCATCCTCCTTTTGTGTGTGTGTGTGTGTGTGTGTGTATGTGTGTGTGTGTCGGTTCTAGGACTTGAACTCAGGGCCTGGGTGCTTCCCCTGAGCTTTTCTGCTCAAGGCTAGCACTCAGTCGTTTGAGCCACAACTCCACTTCCAACTTTTTGCTTTTGATAGTTAATTGAAGGTAAGAGTCTCATAGACTTTACTATCCAGGCTGACTTCGAACCATGATCCTCAGAACCCAGCCTCCTGAGTAGCTCTGATTACAGGTGTGAGCCACTGGCGCATAGCAACAACCCCTTTTTTAGAGAGGAAGATGAAGGTTGGGCGGGAGAAAGCTGCAACTTGCTCACAGTACCAGGTCTAGGCGATGGCCTTGGGTGTGGCCTAACCTGCTTTTCCTTAGTCCTCTCTCTACCCTCAGTGTAATAGAGGTTAAAAAATAAACATGAGATATTATGAAATTAGGAAAAAGGAAGTTTAGGGGTACTATAAAACTTGGGCTTTCCCTGCTTTCATATTAGTTTAAGCTCGGGGTCTTTTCAGGGATGGACATTGCCAATCAGTTGCTTCTTGATTCCTGATCAGTTACTGGAAGGCCTTGAACTCTGTAGCCCCAAGGACAGATGCAGCGACATCACTGCCTGAGAGAATTTGCAAGAGCAAATGGCATACTTAAACCAAATAATGAGAAAAGCCAAGTGACAGTTTATCCTTGTGCCTGTGTGCTGGCCAGTGGCTCCAGAACAGGAAGTGGAGATGTGAGTCATGTAGGGAGGGGGGTGGGGTGAGAAAGAAAGCACAACTCTTTCCAGAATGGCCAGGTTCCAAGCCGTGCCAACTGCCTCCTTGACGTCACTGGGGCTTGTTACCAGCAGAGAGTGGGGGTGATTTTCTCAGCCTGTGCGCCCGTTTGAGCGGACACTAGCAGCTCTGCCATACCTGATTCTTTTCTGTGCCTTTTTTGAGGGCAGTGGATCAGGAGCCCAAAGGGAGCAGAGGCCTGGGGACTGAGTCTTCCTTTGTTATCCTTAGGCAGAGGATTTGGCCCCAGACTGGACTCCTTTGACGCTAGTATCTCCCACCCTTGCTAGGTGATAAGAGTCACCTGGCCTGCTTTATCATAGTACACATTCCCAACGCTACTCCTGGAGATTCTGACTCGGGAGGTCTAAAATGGGGTCTGGGAAGGTGTATACATTAAAGAGTTCAGGGGGAGCTGCTCCTGTCCTCTGCTCAATGCACAGAATCAAATGAGTGCAGGTGAGCCTTGAACATGCACGTCACCATCGCTGTCCACAAGGAAAGCTGAGCTTGAAGAGGTGCTTGTGGATAGCAGAGAGCTGTTAGATTTGCTTTCTCCCTGTGGTCAACATCCAGAGGAATGCCAGCTTTGGGTTGTAAATGTTCCCCATGGGTAGTGGAAGCCCAGGCGATATTTATAGCCTGCAGGTTTTCCTTTGTAGCTTTTGTGCTGGCTGAAAGTGAACCCAGGCTGTATAAACTGGGCTCTAAGGATACCTAGAATATTTGGAAACTTAGTAGATGGCTGGAGAGTTTCCAAAGGCAACATCTTCTGTGAGAGGGTTCCCTCTTCTTAACCCAGGAATTCATGAGCTTCTAGGAGGCAGGAGATGGGGCACTAGGGATTTGGAGCAGGAAGTGCAAATTTGTCTGGGAAAATAAAATTCTGTGACCTAATGAGTTTTGGAAATTACCCTAATCCTATTCGGTGCTGATGTAGGCTTTTTCTCCTTACTGAAAAGTTCAACTCAAGAAACACTACAGAGGGTTGATCTTCGCCACAGAAATGTGCAAGGACTTTGCAAGAATAGGAGAGTAAATCATTTAAACTTCTGCTGTCAAGTCAGCTAGAGACAGAGGATGTTCAAACATTTACTATAAGCAGGAGATAAGACCTGAATAGATGGCAAAGGAAAGGGAGGTGTGACTCATTCCCAGTACATTTTTATTCTTGTACTTCCTTTCATAGGCAGGGCATTCTATTTGGTTGAATAAATGATTTTTAAAAAACACACATGACAAAATGATACCAGATTGTGAGCGGGATTTCTAGGTCTAAATTTAGGGGATAGTTTCATAATGTTCCTATGTCATTTTACCTTTCTGGCTGTCTCAGGATCTTGTCAGCCTAGATCACCTCATGGTGACTTTGCACTCGAGGCTTCTCATTTATTTCATATGAACTTTGGTATCAGCCTGTGGACTGAAGGGAATGTCGATCACATGAGTTCCGTTTTAAGTTGCCACATGATTGTCTAGAAATGTTTTTCAGACTTAGCGCATTAACTGTTATAGACAGTTGGCCTTCATGTGACTGCTAAGCCCTCTCCACAGGCTCAGCTTTACTTGCCCATGGGGAAACTCACGGATTAGATCAACTGGATGACAGACACACAAGGAGGCCACGCAGCTAAAAGAGGCTGTGCTTAGCATCTGCCCACAGCTGGACCTTAGCTTTCTTACCCAGTATTATCTGGGATTAACACTTAAGCTAAATGTGGAATGCGGTGACTATTGGCGTTGTCTGGGTGGACAGATCACCTGGGCCAGGACTTCTTGCCCAGTCTATGTCCCCAGTGCCTTGAAAGTGTTCATCTCATTCTAGTTCTGTAAATCCAAATAAATGAATTCTCCAAGCAAGGGTATGAGAGGTAGGTTTGATAAAATGCACACCCGATCCTGGCAAACCAAGTTAATGAGCTCCCTCCCAATGTGTTTGCTTTCTTTGTGCTCTCAGCTCCTATCAGGTGGTAGTGCTTCCTTTGGGCCTCCAAAGCACATTTTCTTGTGATTCTGAAGGGGTGACCTCGTTCTTCAGCAATTCCTCTGATGCTGATGGATATGTGGCTGCAGAGCTCCTGGCCAAAGATGTCACAGATGATAGCCTGGAGGTATCCATTGGAGACAGGCTGTACTATGGGAATTATTATAATGCACCCTTGAAAATGGGGAATGATTACTGCATTATACTACGAATCACAAGTGAATGGAATAAGGTATAGTTCTCTCAAAGCTCTTGCAAACTCTGCATCTTGCTTTCCGCATGAAATATAAGTGTTTGAACATGTGTTTTCTGAGTATTTGAGATGAACACAGCCTGTAATAGCCACCAAAAATGTAGTGATGACTCTGCTTTGCCTTTATAAAGGATGGGCAGGCAAAACCCTTACAGATGCTTCAGTCTGAACTTCCTGGGGGACCTCCTTGGGTCTGCAGGGAGGATGGTCTGGTTTTAAGGAGACAGTTTCCTAATGTAGCCATGCCGTTTCCCTTTCCGGCTGGTCTGAGGATCTCAAGGCCAAGGATCCATGGTGATCTTACTTCATACCTGCATGCTGAAGCTGGAGGTGGAAGAGAGGCTAGATCTTGCTCTCCACGTCTCTCGCAGCCCTCCCAGGCTGCTGCCTCCCCTGCTGCTGCCAGAGAAGCCAGCAATGCCCCTTTCCCTGCTTAGGTCCCTTCCTTGGCTAAATATAGCCCTATTCCGCCTTCCCCTGTCCTCAGAAAGGCTGTGCTCTTCTAGGACTGATTCCTCTATGAGAAAGAAATGTTCATTAGATAGTAAATATAATGAGCTGGACACGAACCTGGCCCTTTATTCATTTTTTAATTGAATTGCTTGCTATTTTTTGTTGAGTATTAGGAATTTATATTTATTATGAGTAAGAATCCAGATTTTTTAAAATCTCATATTGTTCCTTTGTATGAGGCAAGAAAAATTTTCAAGTGTTTTCTTATGGAAGAGAACTTTTGACATACAAAAGCTTTTAATTTTGATGAAGTCCATTATGTCTATTGTTTTCTCCCAGCACCTGTGTCTCATCCAAGAAACCAACAAATTCAGTTTCATGAAATTTTTCCTCTGTGTTGTCTTCTAAATTCTGGGTTTTTTTTGGTTTTTTTTTTGTGCTGATCTTGAGGCTTGAACTCAGGGCACTTCTGGCTTTTTGGTAATTAATTGGAGTTAAGAATCTCACGGACTTTCTTGCCAGGGCTGGCTTTGAACCACAATTTCAGATCACAACCTCGTGAGTTCTAGGATTACAGGTGTGAGCCATGACAAGTTTTATGGTTTTAAGTTTTGCATGTATGTCTTTATATATTTAGAATTTATTTTGTGTATAATGTGAGGAAGGGATCCAACTTAATTTTTAATTTTTTTGCATGTAAACATGTCTTTCCAGCACCATTTGTTGAAGAGACTATCTTTTTTCCATCAACTACTCTTGTCATCTCTGTATCCTATTTTGTTTACTTATCTGTCTGTCTCTATGATAGCACCAATATTTTGATTAGCTTACTACTATATTTTGAAATTAGGAAGTATGAGTCTTCCACCTCCACCATGTCATTTTTCTATCTGTGTACTTTCCTAGTAAATAGCACTATTATGCCTACAATAGGCAACTAAGAAAACTAAGAATAATTCTCATTCCTCCCTCTTTCTCACCTTCTAGTTCAGTCAGTCATCAAACCATGCTAGTTCTAGTACCTTACTGCTAATTCAAATCATGATTCCTTTTCCTTTCTCGTCATCATTGCTCAACATTTGTCTTTTCTGAACGCTTATTTTTCCTAGCTTTTTTTCTTCTACCTATCTCGTTGCTGTACATGTGTGTGCATTATAAAATGCACATTGACAGACGCACTGGAGTTTAATGAGATTCCTCCTCTACTTGCCCCCTGTCAACTTCTCTGCTGTAGTACATTCAGTTCCTTAGTAACCACCTTGCTATTTGAGATGTCTTTGTTTTTCCAGTGTCTTGATATGCGTACTTTGCTGGTGATTCTTGCCAATTCCTCTATTTCCAATCTCTATACTTAGCCTCAAGGCAAAATTTACTTGCATGTAAAATGGTTATTTTAAGCTCTTCCCAGAATTTTTTTTTAGTTCAAATATGTTTTAAAAAATTTTTAGTGAAATAAAAAACGAGAATGCTGAAACTTGTCATTTGAAACAGAATCTCCTTAATGAGGCTACAGAGCTTCTTCTGCCCCTGAGAGAGACTGTATTGAATCTTATCAGTCAGTGATCCTGGCAGTCCTGTTTGAAAGATACTCATGACATGATGATGGGGAGAAGAGCAGGTGCTCCATTCAGTGGGTCTATATGCTTTTTTTTTCTGCTTTGGATTAGTATTTGTGCTTGTTCTCCTTGTTCTTAGATACATTTTGGTTACCCAATACCTTTTGGGTAACCAAAATGTATTGCTAAGCATCATGTATCATGCAGTTGGCTGAACTATTATTACATATCAGGACCACTTCTTTATACATCACCTCCATGGGGTCTCAGGATTCTTTTCCCAAGCAGTCAATGCTGGTCGCTCAGAGCTGGCAAGGAGAACAAAGCTCTTGCCATTCTGTTGTTTCCTCATGGGGGAGGACTTCCTGAGACCCATAGTGTACCTGTGCACCCTGTCACCTGCTTCAGCCCTGTGAGCATTGGTGAAATCTATAGAGCTAACAATAGGTAAAACACTTGCCTAGCGTGTTCGATCCCTAGTACATTAAAAAAAAAAATTATAGCACTTGAGTCTCACACTTGCGATCCTACCTACTCAGGAGGCTGAGTTCTGAGGAGCACAGCTTGAAGCTAGCCCAGGCAGGAAAGTTTGTGAAACTCTTATCTCCAATTAACCACCAAAAAATCAGAAGTGAAGCTGCTGGCTCAAGTGGTAGAGGGCTATCATTGAGCAAACAAAAAACCTGATGGTCAGTGCCCAGGTCCCAAGTTTAAGCCCCAGGACTGGCAGGTGTGCGCGCGCACGTGCATGCAAAAGCTAGATGGATCTTGAAAGATTCCCTACTTCAAATTAGAGTGTAAAGAAGCTGAGTTGTGGAGGGTTGTGGCCTCTGAGCCACACTGCATGCCACCAACTTACCTATGTTGCTGTGTTTTTCTTTATAGGTGAGAAGATATTCCTGTGCAGTTTGGGCTCAGGTGAAAGGTAAAACCATTTTCTTATGATCAGTTCTGTCCTTATTTGTCCTCTGTTTGAGCTGCAACATTAGGTTCATGCTGAGATCTCTTTTTAAAATTATCACTAGTGACAGAAAACCAGCTGATACTATCTTAAGCAATAGTAACAGCAAAAGGGATGGGAACTTAGAAATTATACCAGACCTCCAGGGCCTGGGACCTAGGACTCCACACTATCTGTCCCTTACCCCCTTTCTATTTGCCTCTTGGTAGTACTTGTCCTCATTTTTTTTTTCTTTCATTTGCTTCAACTCTGGGCCTGGGTGCTGCCTTTGAGCTTTTGTGCTCAAGGCTAGTACTCTACCACTGGAGTTACAGCTCCACTTCTGGCTTGTGGTTAATTGGAAATAAGAGTCTAATGGATTTTCCTGCCTATGCTGGCTTTGAACCACAATTCTCAGATATCAGCCTACTGAGTAGCTAGGATTACAGATGTGAACCACAGGTGTCTTTGCCCTCCTCCTGCCCCTCCCCCCCAGGCCATGTGGTGGGGAGAGATTGGCCACAGATGTCCCCGCTGAGTGACTTCACTGGGAACAGAAGGTTTTACAGTTTAGAGAAGGCATCTTTCCTATCCAGAGGCTGATTCCCTATGGATGTTAGATGGAGGACTACGATTGACCTACTTTAGATTTTATATTTGCTCCTATGGCTTGTTGGGGTCAGAGCAAGGTGATTAATAGCTTCATCAGAGTTGCATTGACACGAGATTGGAGGTGTGCTCAGGTAGTGGAGCCACCGATGAGCAAAAGCAAGCAACAAAGTTGCATTGACAGGGAACAAGATTCCATAACGAAAAGATTCACAGGAAAACTTGTTTGTACCATAAAACAAGAGCTATCACATTCTACTACTTTGTATAACGTGGCTGCATGGCAGGTGTACACACATATGGGCCGTCACATGTCCCACAGTGACATTTTTGTCGAGTGGTCTGCTTATATAGCAATGGTCCCATAAGAATGCATTGCCTATAGATGTCATGGCCATCTTAGCTTGTGTAAGCACATTCTATAATGCTTGCACAATGACAGCATGGCCCAGCGACACATCTCTACTATGTCTCCATTGTCAGGTGACTCCATTATCATATCAAGAAAAGTAACTGCCATTAATGAAATACTATCCCACATATTATAAAATTTTTTTTAAAAAAATACAAAATGAAACCTAGGGGAAGATAGTTCAAGGGGCTGGTTATCGCACCTAGCTCCAAGTCCTGGGAATGGTAAGTTCTTCTTGATCAGGTCCAGATGTGCCTTTTCTGATCTATTTAGGGATCCGTGACTAAATGAACAACTTGACTGTTCATAAACCACAGGGCAGGACATCAAAGGGAAAATAAGGACAACAATTGCTGTCAGGTAGCAAGGAGGAAGAGATGTAGTCATGTCTTGAGGGGGGGAGAAGGGCTCATAACAGTGGGCACCTCTTGCTGGCCAGGTGAGCAAACCTCTGCTCTGGCAACAGAACAGGGGACTCTTGCTCAGTCTGATGGCCTCAGTTCTGCTTGACTAGTATCCCTTCTTGTCCATTTCCTGTAAAGCTTTGCCTCCTTGCCCGGTGCTGTATGGCTTAAACCCTCTACTCAGCATGAGCAGACTTATCCAGGGGGAATGGCCTCTGAGACAGAGAAATCACAGTTTCTTGCCTTGCAGGCTGGGGACTTCCCTGGCAGCATATTTCTGTAAAACCAACAGGCACACAAGCCAGCCAGTAGTGTTGATTCCAGGAGTTTAGTTTGTAGCTGATACCAGAAATCCTGTCAAGTTTATGACCTTTTGAATCTGGATGTTTTCCTTATGGTTTATGCGTTCTCACAACAAGCTGAGGAATTCAGCCCTCAGCCCACAGTATCAGTTTAACCTCTTACATTCTGGGCTCAGCCTCAGAGCAGCGTAGAACAATGGGCTAGTGTGGTACGGAAGTGCTGGCAGCTGCTTGCAGGAAGTTTCCCAGGGATGGGACTTCACAGGGGAGATGTTATTCTCTCAGTAGACAGTTCTTGGCAGGAAATGTTTCATTCAGGGAGGCCTGGGGAATTAGATTCCCTCCATTTGTCTGTTTCTTCCCCAGCCTTATTTTCTATCTGTTCATTTCTACTCAAAGTTAACTTCAACAATAGTAGAAGACTTTTCAGTTGGGTAAAACAAATTACCTGACCAATAGCCATCTTGAATTGAGAACAGCCAGCCGTGTGTGTTGTGTTGTGTGTGTGTGTGTGTGTGTGTGTATGTGTGTGTGTGTGTGTGTGTGTGTGTGTTGTGACTCTTCACAGGTATCTGTTTCCTTTATTGAGAAGTTTAGTAGAGGACATGAAAAATAATCACTTGCTCCAACGTTTGAAAAAGTTTTCTGCCAATTGGTTTCTAAAGGTACTAGGGACAGGAAGAGAGTTCTCACAGGAAAAAAAAATGCTTTTATAGAAGAACTAAGATATGTTCGCTTCCAGACTTAGAAACAATAGCTTGCAGAATCCATTCCACTCAGCAGCTGTTTGTTATGATTGGAAAACAAACTGGGTAGAAATAAGCAGAGAGCTGGCTGGAGTCCTTCTGCTGTGGTAAGTTAATAGAAAGGGCTTTACTTTGAGAATGTGTGAGGGACTTTTTGTCAGTGCTCTTTTATCTTCCCTCAACTTGAGAGCCAGTAGTGAAAGAGAATTTGAGCCTTTGCATTAAAAGCACTAGAATGCTCTGGAAAGTAGTAAAAAAAAAAAAAAAAACATGCATGGTTACACAGAAATTCTATAGGCAATTCTAGTATACCTATGTATAAATTTGCTTGTGTGGGAGTTCAAGCCACAGTACTACAAAATTTGCGTTTGAACTTCATCTCTGTAAGTCTTTCCCTCCTCTTCCCTCTTCTCCCTCCCTCTTTCCTCTCCCCTCATTCACCTTCCTCCCTCCTTCTCCGCTTCTGTTCCCCCCTCCCCTCCCATTCCCTCCTGTCCTCTCCTCTCCTCCTCTCCTCTCTTCTCCTCTCTTCTTCTCCTGTTTTTTCTTTTTAGGCACTGCTGAGGTTTGCACTCTGAGCTTGCTCTTTCTAGATTCTACCACTTGAGCCAGTCCACCAACACTGGAAGTCATTTTCAAAAGAATATGGAGACTGCCACTTCAGAAAGTAATCAGGATAGATGTGAGGCCCAAATCTGTCCTGAAATTGTTCCAGTCTACTTGTACTAGGTCCCAGCTCCACGCTGGCCTTTGGAGTGACAAGTTATACTGTTTACCTTTTACACATTGCTCCCTGAAAGAACTTTGAGGTAATCACCACAGAACAGCAGTAAGATGGCAGATACAGATGATGTGGGGCCTGGGTTTCCTTTCCTGACTCAGACTGCTCATCAGCCCAAGGTCTTTGAAGTGCTGTTTGCCTTGGCTGGTTCTTAGTTGTGTCTGTATGTGCGCCATGAGGTCCCTTCTGGCCACAGAGTACTAGGACTGTATGATATCTTGAGTCATTGAGAGGATACTAAGCTGTAATTAGGGGACGTCCTCCAGTCACAGGCATGAAATGAGTCACTGGTGACTCCTGCCTGTTCTCAGAGTGTACCAGTTTTTATTTCTGTGTTCATGCCTTCATGCATAGCACAGGCCTTCAGCTCCTAGCTGTAGAGGGCTGGCAAAGGCTCCTTGCTCCTCTCCCATCGTAAAGGGTCAACTCTGGCCTACACACCATATTTCTCAACTGCTTTTACTACTTCCTCTGATGATTCTTCCCTGGTCCTCCATTGCTTTCTTTTTTTTTATAGTAGAGATTTATTTATAGGAGAAATTCTCTTTTCCCCATAAACTTGATTCATTCTGATACTGAAGAACATTGTTTTCTCTCGATAAGCATCACAGCATCAAAACTTTGGTTTCTGGATCATAGGTAAGGAATCTGTCAGCACAGACACCATGACAGCCATGATTATCCATTTTCTGTTTTCTGCTTCTGGGAACACTAATGATCATGGAAAATAAAACACCTTGTCATCCACTTCTTCTGGCTTTCTGGGCAAGCAGTGTAAAAATGTCCAGGTAGGGGCAGCAACTTTAGCAGTCTTCATTGTAACCTGGTGAGCTTGGAAAGCCTCCAGCCGCATTTTCTTCTCTTCTTCTTATCCAAGGGTCTGTGATTAGTACATTGGCTCCATTCACTGCTTCCAATAGGTCATTCATCAGCAACAGTTGGGTACCATTCTCCTTGGCCTACTGCTCTGCCAGCTTGGTTATATTAGGATCTGGCCCATAACACTTTGGAATAGCTGCTTGAAGGTGCATCCCGAATTTTGCTGCACTCATCATGATAGAATGCAGGATGTTGTTTCCATCCCTTGTCCAGCTAAGGGTAAGACCTTTGAGAAAGCTGTAGTGTTCCTGAAGCGTAAGGTAATCAGCCAGGATCTGGATAGGATGACACAAGTCTGACAGTTCATTGACAATTGGGATGGATGCTTCTTTAGCCAGAGTGTCCAGATCTGATTGTTTATACACTTGAGCCAATACTGCATCTGTCATGCCAGACAACACACAGGCTGTATCCGTGAGACTTTCATTCACACCCAAATGAATGTCTTGCGTGGTAAGAAAACAAGCAGAGCAAAGCCTGTTTCTGTGGATAGTCTTGCTCGAGTGCTTCTTTTCTCAAAAATCATGCCTAAGGTCTGTCCTTGCAACAAAGGCAAATATTTTCCTTTCTGTTTTATCCTAAATTTCAGATCAGCAGATAGCCATAGGAGATACTTAATTTTTTCTCCTGTAAAGTCCCTTAAAGAGGTCACGACCCTTCAATTGGACTTTATTTTGTAGCGCTTTCCCACACAAAGCCAATTCAGCTCCGATGGAGAGCTGACTTGGGATGCCATGATGACCGGAGATGAGCCAGGAGACAGGATACAGGAGATGATCATGGAAACACATGTGGCATAGGAGTCTTCCATTGCTTTCTACCCTAGTTTCTGAGGTCTCAGTTTGACACCAT